GACTAATTGAGTTGTGTGTGGTGAATTAGGGTGTTTGGAGTGCAAAAATATGAAGAAAAGGTGCTCTAGGTAGAGGAAGAGAGATTGGATGCGTCGCATCCAATCTAGAAAAAAATCAGATTTCGTGCACCTTTAGCAGTGAAGTCGGCCCATAGCATCCGCACCTGGGCAAAGCTGAGATAGAGGAACAAGGGTTGGATGCGTCGCATCCACCCTCGCATGCAAAACTGAGAAGTAGAGGACGAGGTGGATGCGTCGCATCCACCCTCGCATGTGAAGCTGAGAAATGGAGGACGAGGTGGATGCGTCGCATCCACCTTAGCATCAATCCCTGAAGCCGATTTGGACTAGGAATAGGAGAACTTTGGCCCACGACTTTTGTACGTAATATATAAGCTAAAAACGCCTCCTTTAGGTCATCGAACATATTGGGAAGGGGGAAAAAGCCATGACAAAGTTGGGAAACCACAGAATTCATCTTGAGTTCTTATTTTTCCTTCTTTTATTGATTCTTATGCACTCTGGTGAATTATTTGATGATTGCATGAACATGAGTGGCTAAGAACCCTATTATTCTAGGGTCATGGGCGATACATGAATGTTGATGTTTGAAGTTTAATTTGACAAAGTTGATTTTATCATATTGGGTTGCTTATTTAATTCTATTTTTAATTAATTTGTTGAGTAGCTAACAGTGAATTACTATCTACGAATCTAGAGTTGAACTCGAAAGTGGGAATTCTAGATTGCATATAGAATTAAATAGAGCAAGTTCTTAAACCCGGACATCGGGGAACGGATTCACAATTAGGATAGAAATATACCTAATTGCCTTTCTCGGTTGCAATACAGGAATTATAAATGCGTTCTTGTTAATCTTAATTCCATAGACATATAGGCATTAAGTTAGCTTGAATAGGCGAGTAAGAACTTGACAGATTTTTATGAGTAATATCAACCCTGTCAATCAACAATCCAGATAAATCAATTAGTTATTTTAAACTAAGAATGCAACATGATTGTTAGATAACCCGTGACCCTGGAATATTATATCCTATTGATTGTTATTCAAAACTATTTAAGTGTTGTGGTTGATTCCTAGTATTTCATTACTTGATAGTCTTTAGGTAGTAATTCAGAAAATTATCTATTTTGTGAGAAATCTTTTGAATCAATAAGGCATTTGAGTTAGAATCAGTCGAAAGTTAATCATAGGTCTTCGTGGGAACGATACTCTACTCATTACTCTATTACTTGACGACCACGTATACTTGCGTGAGTGTGCGTTTGGTCCCAACATATTCCCTTTTGAAGCTTCTCATATATGTATTTGTGGTTTTATGACTTGTGTGGATGGTTGATTTCATTTCGGGGAGGTTTTGGATTGATTTGGAACAATTAGTTCTTAGTTTGGAAGTTTAAGTTAGAAATGTTAATCGAGGTTTGATTTTTGTGAGAACGGCCCGAAATGGTATTTTGATGGTTCCAATAGGTTTGGATGGTGATTTTGGACTTAGGAAAATACTCGAAATTGGATTCGGAGGTTCCTAGGTTGAATTGGCTCTTTTTGCCGAAAGTTGGCAATTTGAAGGTTTAGAAATTTCCTAAGTTTGACGATAGGTTGACTTTATGGATATGAGGTCGGATTTTGGTTTCGGGACATGAAATAGGTCTGTTTTATTATTTGAAACTTGTGTGTAAAGTTTGGTGTCATTCCGAGTTGGTTTGGTAGAAATCGGACGCTTGGTTGTGATTTTAGCGATTCTTGAGTTTCATTGTGAATTCTATGCGTTTTGGTGTTTGACTCATAGTTCCGGATGTTATCTTGGTATTTTGAGTTCGTGAGCGAGTTCGTATGATGTTTATAGACTTGTGTGAATATTTGATGTGGATCCCCTGGGGCTCGAGTGAGTTTCGGACGTGTTTCAGACCATTTGGAATTGAGTTCCAAGTTGTTGATATGTTGGTGTTGTAGTTAGCACAATTGCAAGCACCAGTTTGCAATTGCGAAGTTGGCAGGTGGGTCTGATGAATCGCAATTATGATGCCTTGATCGCAATTGCGAAGGTGGGTCTAGGTCTGGGATGATCGCTTTTACGACCTAGGCAGGCTTTGCAAATACGATGTCTGAGTTGCATTTGCGATATTCCTTCGGCATGTCTAGAGAAAATCCCTCAAGTAGAGTAAATTTTAATCAGCTTACCTTAATTCCAAGATCCAAATAGTACTTATAAGGCTCCAATTCATTTAGAAATCTCAAACGTCGCCAACAAGACAATATCTACATAATAACTCATATTCATCAACGACACATTACGATAACACCAACTAAGTTAACTAAGTGTTCAACACTTAGGTCCTGCTTTACAAGTCTAGTAAAAATCGATATTCCTACCATAGAAGTTGGTTCTTGAGTTTTAAACTCTAAATCTCTCATTCAATACTCAATAATATGATATTCAATAACGAAATTGCTCACAAGATCATAAAGAATATCATTTAACTCGTTTTTACCAAATCAACACTATTCATCGTCTCCACCCACTAGTCAATCTTATTCATAATACCCATTTTCAGGGTTCATCTCCCAACTCAACCAAACCATAATTTTTACTCCAAAGCACCTTCTATATACTTATTTATACACAATATATGAACATTAAGTAGTAGGATTACCTCTTGAAGACAAATCTTGAAAATCTCTATTTTTGTGTTCTTGGAGGATTTGGAAGAATCTAACAAATTCTATGGTTGAATATTGTTACTATTAGTGTTAATCAATTTGGATAAAAACTCGCCTTGTATGATCCAAGTGAAGCCTTGGTCCAAATCCTCTTCAAAAGCCCCAATTAACTCCCTAAATTTGACCCCAAATCATCTATCCCCGACCTAGAGGTATATATAACCTTTCCAGGTGTGCTGCCGCGCATCTAGTACTTGAACGCGCATCTGGCACACACTTGGGGAAACCAACTTCTTTATGTGCGCTCTTAGCTGCGCGGTCGCGCAGTCCGGCGCACATGTTAGACAATGCTCAGTAAATTGGTCATACTTTTTGTACAAAATTACAAATGGAAAACAGTTTGAAGAGTTAGAAACTAGACTCAAATAGCATTAATCTGATAGCCTATCCACATCGTAACTCATCATACACAGGGAGATATGATCGTTTGAAATTAGGTCATGTGCGACTTTGTGCGTCTTTTTCTCTTCAGCAATTCTAACTTATTCCAAGCTACTTCTTCCCACTTATAAACATCATCAAACAATTTACAATACTTGTACACATACCTAAATGGATTTATCCATAATCATAGTTGTTGTTAGCTTACCAATGATACGCTTAGCACTTAATGACCTTCTAATGAGGCTTTAAATATTTGAAAATTTTCTGGGGTGCTACATTTCTGTACTCTATTAACATGGTTGAAATAGAACCTCATTCTTATAGCCAGACAGCTTCTATTAGAAATTTGAAGCTCTTGAGGCAAACAACATCTGGTTTGTTGTTGAACTTCCTAGTGGGAAGAAGCCCATAGGTTGTAAGTGAGTATATAAGATTAAGTGTAAGGCTGATAAGTCTGTTGAGAGGTACAAATATAGATTGGTAGTTAGAGGTGACACACAAGTTGAAGGGGTTGATTTCAGTGAGATATTCTCTCTAGTCATCAAATTTTCTATTGTGAAATGCCTAATTGTTGTAGATGTCAAGTAGTATTGGTCTTTATTTTAGCTTGATGTGAGCAATGTCTTCTTGCATGGGGGATCTTGTTGAAAAGGTTGACATAAAATTGCCTTCTGGTCTGTTTGTCTCTTCTTCTTCTTCTTCTTCTTCTTCTTTTTCACTGCTGCTTTCTTCTTTTTTGTGTTTAGGGTTTCTTTTCTTCTTAGTTGCAAAATGGGTTTGTTAAATTTGTTATTGTCTTAACAATTTGATGATTGAAATTTTTTATTTATGATATTTGAAAGTTATATTTCAAACTTGAGCTCATTTGGAGTAGATTTGGATGTTGAATCGCGTGTTGGAATGTTGAAATTTTGAAAAACAAGTTTATGTTTCAGAACTTCAAATTTTGAATCTGAAGCTGTCAGAAGTTGTATTGAAAAATTGAAGTACTTAAGATTTCAGATTTTGAATCTGAAGTTGTATTGAAAAATAAAACTACTTAAGATTCGATTTTTTGAAGTTGCAATTGAAAGATAGAAGAACTTTCATATTTGAAATCTAAAGTTGCTTTGAAGAGCTTAAAGTACTTAAGATTTGAATTTTTGAAGTTGCAGTTGAAAGATGGGAGAACTTCAGATTTGATTTCTGAAGTTGCATTGAAAAGATTGAACTACTTCAGATCCGAGCGGGTACACTTTGCAAAGTTTTGTGCAATGCGGGTGTAAATTCAATGGTGGCCCAAAATAAGTATATATGCAAACACCCCAACCTGAACACACAATGTGTATTTATTGTGTAATATTTTGTACGGGGTCAAAAGCCCTGTTATGTAATAGATTAGATTAGTCAGTAGGGATATTATATAAAACGACTTGTAACAACTTCTAAAACATAAAGTAACGAGATTTTTTCTCTGGAAACACAGAAACAACATTTCAACTCTCCGAGATTGAGGTTCAATCTGAGTTTTAACAGAAACAGATAAAAAACATTGTACATCATTTGCAGTTTGCAGACCCAAATAAAACAGAAAGATAATTTACGGTGCAGGGGAATTTCATTTTTATTTTATAGTTACTTCAGGAGTAACAATTAGGAGTAACTCTTCCAGGAAGGTGAAGGTGAAGGTGCCTAACGGATATCCACAGAAAACAATAGCCAGCCCTTGTACTCCATAACTCTTCTCACATACATGCAATGACACTCCTCTTTGGCTTGCACTAAAATAACTGGGCCACTAACAATAGGGACTTTCCTATTCAATAGGCCTCCCAGTGCGGTGAAATGGAAAGCCCCAGAGAGCGCTTATGATATACTCGATAAAGAAAAAGTCATACTTTATTACAAATATTTTGCTAGCATATCAATTCCAGAGGCTAGGCTAACAGCATTTAATGGGATATGTGCATATGCATCAAGATATATGCAGAAACTCACACATTCATTTGAACTATGAAGATACTTCTGCTTCCTACATTTATTTGAAGATACAAGGAAAGATGACTTCATTCTTCAGCACAGGATTTTATATTCAAAATCAGCTTTGGGCAGAGGCAGCCGGATTGCTACTTGGAAATGATGAAACCCCAGTGCCAGGTTCTTGACTAGTTTGCTCTACGCTTGCATGCCGCACAAAGTCATCTGGTGACATGTGAGACCCATGACAAGCACAGACAATCCTGATTTGGGTGGAACTGTATCTGTAAGTAACACCAGATATTGTTCTACCATTTGGACCAGGACCAGTCGTTGAGACCCACGGAAGGTTCGGGTAGGAACCAGATCCTCCAAATTTCAAATCTGCAGCAAGACCTGGCCTTATAGTTGAAAATTCAGAAGGAACTGCTTCTGCTCTGGGCTGCTCAGGAGGGTCTTTTGCCCTGAAGCTTATGTTGCTTCCTTTCACATTTTCTTCCCCTCGAGAAGTGGAAGTTTCTTCTGCCTTATGCTGTCTCCCATTGCCTTTCACATGCTCCATTGCCCTCCCATCATATTGTACAGAATCAGATGACTTGTGCGGAATAGATGACGTAGTAGCTACATAAACACAGCAAGTAGAAGTTCTTAGTAGTCATAAGGCTGGACAATTATTGAATTAACCAATCATATATTTATCTATACAACAGTGACAATGCAGGATCCAAAATGTAACAAATTGGTATTTGTCGGGAATTCTTGGCATCTCATGCAGCAAATTAGAAGTTTTAGGCAATTTACGGGCATCTCAATAGGTATATAAGAGGAACGGACAAAAAGACTAATGATGCAGGTTGAAAGTTGTTGACAAATGTCAAGAAGGAACATGAAGATTAGAATGGGCATGAACAGGAAAACCCAATTAAGCAGGAAAGGGAGTTTAGGTACTTGGCAATAAATAAAGGAAACAAAAGTTGGGGAGCAATAATAACTGGTAGAACATCTTTCCTTAATTTAGGGAGGGTCGACATGTTGATTAAGTATGGGCTGTGAATGCCTGTTTTGGATCTTCATTTACTGTGATGTACAGAGGTTGCATCCTGCTGATGCTCTTATAATGAAATTATTTATGTATTCTAGGGGGAAAAAAAGACAAAATAATTTATCTCCACAAATAACAGGTGCTCAATATCCAAACTTAAGTAAGCTCACAACCTTCAACCTCACAAGTCTGAGTAGTCAAGTTCATTTTACATCAAGAGTGACATTTGTTGTAAAATTTTCAAAGTTCATGCAAATATTTTGTTTAAAAGCTACTTTTATAGTTTTTTGTACACAAACTGTATAGAACTATATTATCAGATTTTAATGCCACCTTTACACTCTAAATTCTAAAACGAATTAAAGGGCAGCTCGGTGCATAAAGCATCCCGCATTCACGCACGGTCCGGAGAAGGGCCGCACCCCTAGGGGTGTGATGTAGACAGCCTACCCTAATGCAAGTATTAGTGATTGCTTCCACAGCTCGAACCTGTGACCTATACTCACACGGAGACAACTTTACCGTTGCTCCAAGGCTCCCCTTCAAATTCTAAAACAAATTGTGCCAAAATTAAAGCAAGACATTTAATTTAAAACAGCAATGCTTCTAGAATTAACAACTACCCAGTGTAATCCCACTAGTGGGGTCTGGGGAGGATAGTGTGTACGCAAACCTTACCCCTACCCCAAGGGGTAGAGAGGTTGTTTCCGATAGACCCTCGGCTCAAAATCATTGCATAAGCCGCCTTACACATCCCCCTTACAAGAGAGAATAGTGAGGTTAAAATTGTAGATCATGTATAAATTCATATTAGGGACAAATGACTGGAGGAAGACAAGGAAAGATATGGAGAACAGACCCTTTCTGCATTATGTGGAGCATTTGGAGTGAGAGAAATAGAAGATGTTTTGATGGATAGAAGAAGCATGTTTCAGTTGTCAAATTTAAGTGATTAGAAAATCTACTGCTCTGGTGTAAGCAGAAGTCAGTTGAGGAAAATTCAGATATTTTAGATTATTCAGAATCCTTGAGATGATTGTATTTACTATTTTAACATGAGGTCTTTCACTATTTTAATCTGGTGTTATCGTTCCTGAAGATTCACAGACTTTGATGCCTGCTATCCCAGTTATCTTGAATATTTATTCTTTTTCGATTTGGTAAATTTTTTTTTTGGATAACCGTGGTGTCCGGGCCAGCTTGCACGTACCTCGACTAATTCCACGGGATACCTGCTACCTACCACCAGCAAGCAACAAGTACCAGGTAACTCTTTCCACCAAGGCTTGGATAGATGGGAAGAAATCACCTAGTGTTTTTGTCTCCAATGGGATTTGAACCTGAGACCTCAAGTTCTCAACTCACTTCATTGACCACTAGGGCACACCCTTGGGCGCAATCTGACAATATTTATTCTTGAATATTTATTCGTTTTCCTTTGTGTAGAAATTCCTTCTGATAGCAAATCCTTCCAAATACAAAATCCAGCTGAACTGAGAGACTGCAAGTATAAGGGGTTGATTCCATATTTTGCAATTCTTAGTATTACTAATTAATCCAAGTCACCAGTACTCAACTTTATTTTTTGACAAGGATAGTAAAAGAGAGTTGCAAAAATGCCTCTCGCCAAACCTTTCACTGGATGAAGCTTAGGTGAAAATCTCCTTTTTGTCCGGATAGGTAGGTGAGTTTTCCTTTTTATTAACCGACATTTTAGGATGTTGAATGACACAGTCTCCCTATAACTACAACTGGACGCATAAGATATGAAGCCTTCACGAAAGAACGACTAAACAAAAAAAGGTTTAAACATTCATAAATTTCTACTGAACCTAGTTTATGCCACTTGAAGGAAATAAATCATCAAAACGAATTCCAACTTTCTAGCCCATACACATCTGCACCATTTGTTTTTCTTGGAGAAACTTCCAATGCGGGATGGTCTCTGACAGTGACTTATTGAAGTCTTCACAGTCGTTGAAACCCTAAGGAAGACCATAATGTTAAGGTTCACTATGAGCGAAGATTTATTGCATATGCTACAAATACTAGTGGGCCAAATTTCAGTGGAATACGTATCGTGATAAATATACTCAAATAGCCTCCCTTTTCCCGGGCGGAAACTCCAACTCTTAGCTGCTAGATTTCACCACCCTCATCTACAATCAAGGGAAACCATCAATAGGCACATCTTAGCTGCCGATGCAAGAATATCTCCCTCCCCCTCTCTTAATGTGCATGTACAAACACTTTTTACAGGCACAGATAAACATACTTATATAGATGCAACAAACAAGACTACAGAAATATTGACGACCAATCTAAGTTCAGCAAAAAAGCGCCCAAGGTGATAGATATAGAGAAAGGGCTCCGGATTTAAATACTGACAACTTTGAAGAAAGAGAATGTAAAGATAGTTCCTGACTTGGATAACATAAGGGGCCGTTTCGTTACCATTATTACTGGGAATAATCCCAGCTTCAAATTTCCAAGATAGTTCTTGACTTGGATAATATTAGTGATTGTTGCGTCACCTTTATTACCGGAAATAATCCCAGCATTAAATTCCGCTTTAACTTTCGGGTGTTGGATTGCCATTTTTCATTTCTATATTAAGAAACCCGTATTAGTTTGCGGGTATTTTGTTTATTAGTTTATATTGAAATCAACATGGACATAACTATGCACATATTAGCAATACCAGCATTGGAGCATGTAAATGACAAAGTTGTCCTTTATACTATTTCAAGTTTAGTTAACCATCACTTTTTAAACCTCATTTGTTTCTAGCACGATTTGTAATAGTGATATTAAAATTGTCAATGTTTAGACTGCATTTAGAAGAGAAAAGAAACATTTATTTTTCTTATCATAACTTTCATTTTACATTTCCTCTTAGCATGATCTTTACTAAATCTAAGAAGGATAATTATAAATTTTAATTTTAATCAATTTATATAATAAGCTAATTTTAAACTAGATGAAGTAATGTAATATAGGCCAAAGTACTATTAGAAGAAGAAATATTAATCAAATTTACAGCTAACATATGTTTTAGATTATACATTGTATATTTACGATTAACCAAACATCCAACAATAATACAAATAATGCAGTGACTATTATTCCATTTACCCTTAAAAATAAATAGATTTAACAGAATGTAGAAACCTGTATGTGAAATAAATAAAGTACTGGCAGAAGTAACTGTGCTGGTTAGGGATATCTAATAACTTATAATCAGCAACTGATAATCTATGGTGATTTTGGAGTTGGGAACAGAAAATAAATGACTTCGAACATTTTGTTATACTTATCATGAGCTGATATATGATGGATGATCTCTATGTAGCTACATTTGGGAACTATACGATGAAATCCAAAAGCTCAATTAAATTTAATTCTTGAAAGGTAGGATATACTTGCATTTTATCTTTTACTCTGCATTATATTCAGCTAGTATGAAATTGATAACTTTTCAGTTTGCTTCTGTATACCATCTTTTTCTTTACAATTTAAAGAGTAGCTTTCATTTTAGCTTTCTTTTGGTTACTCCAAAATATTCTTTCTATTATTTGACAAGTGCTATGGATCCTCTAAATAAGATTTTTCATCATTTTGGTCCAAACGAAAATCCATAGAGTTAAAAAGAAAACCTTGAGAAATATTTGGTCCATCTTTCTGCATATCTGAGCCCAGAGGACCTCTTCCATGGGAAGGGTGAAGCTGTTGAAGATGAGAAGCCACACCGCGGAGGTTATCCTCGTCCAATGTTGGAAGCTGTACAGAAGAGTAGCCAAACATTAATGGCAAGTTTGCAGGTATGACAGGCTGGCTTCCTGGTCTATCTCCACTTGTGGTAGCCATCACTTGCATCATGCCAGGAATTGGGTAACTAGGCGTACTTGTTGTACCAGCAGTGTTAGAATTCAGAGGCATAGAGTAAGGCAGGTTCATGATGTTTATTGATTGGCCCTGGAATGGGATAGTATATGGTATATTCCTAAACTTAACATCCTTCTCTGAAGAAATAGTAAACCTTCTGTGTCCTATTAATTCTACACCACTTGAAGACGGAACACTGCGAAGCTCCTTATGAACCTCAGCTAAACCACTACTTCCAACAAATCTCTTGGAGCTCTCATCATGCTGCAAAATTTGCCTGGATGTTGAACCCACAGTTTCAGAATCAGCTACATCTTCATTTTCTGCAGTCGAACCTTCATCTGTGGTTATTGAAATGTGTGATGCCCTGGTCTTGTCATGCGTATCAGCATGATGACCTTCTCTCTCTTGCTTCTTCTGTTGACTTGACTCCCTGAACAGATTTTTACGTTTGTCACCCACATCAGCTCTCCTATCTTCTTCAACTTCTATAGGTCTACTATCATTTTGAACCCAGAATCCTCCACTATTTAACTTTTTAGAAGCATCTACGTCAACACTAATGCTGGGGAGCAAGTTCCCCTCATGTTTTGTTGAATCACTTCTCTGAGAACCCACACCAGAATCATGTTTTTGGCTGCTAGTGCTTCCATCCAGAAAGTTCTTGAAATCATTGATCACCTTGCCATCTCTATCAACTTCCTCAACCTTAGAATCCGATGAGCTCCCACTTTTACTTTTCTCGGAGGCAGCCCCTCCACCACAGGGCAGACCTAAGCTCAGATCAAGACCGTTTTCGTCCATTTTGATCAAACACAAAACACAGTGACCAAATTCACACGTTAAACTTCAAGTCACTCTGCCCACCCAAAGAAGAAGTAAAGTTTCACTCTGCAATATTTTACTGCTTCATCCTGAATGCTAGAAACATTATTCAGATGGAACACCTGCTATAACATCTGTTCACGCGAAACATGGATGAGTAACATCTCGCAGACAAGAACAAATAACGTTTCATCATATAACCAAGGAAAAAAATACTAATATTTCTCAAAATAAAAAGTAGCAGACATGCTTGCATTTACTATACATAAAGGCAACAAGAAAAAAAACTCAATACAACATGCAGAGAGCAACAGGATCAGTTTCTCTGAAAGTCCCATATGCGGGAGTGATTTATATCTCATTCTATGATTATTCAGTTTAGGCAGATCGATTGAAACAAGTGAGCTTAATATTCATCTACCCAGAAGTAGCTTTGTAGCAAGACAATCACTAAGGTTAAGATGAACATGAAATGAAACAGAAGTTGCTTTAGGTTTTTTCAGACCACACCTATGTGAATCACTTCCTTTATCTGAGCTTGGACTGGCCATGCTCCGCAGAGCTCAAACAGGCAGAGTTAAGAAGCAACTCTACCCATTAATGGACACCGTATTTGCGGCGAAGTCAGGAATTTCTCTAAGGATATTTAAGATTTAATATATATGTATAAAAAATATTAACCTATATATGCAGCATAATTTTCTATATATACAGTATAATTTTTGGACGAAGGGTGTTCGACTGACCAGCTTCCGTCTACGTGACTACGCCACTGACCGTATTGATATCAGGCTAAACCTTCAGAAAGTCATCTTCCCCGAGTATTCCCGCTAAAATTAACAATCAAAAAGACACCAATTCATTTGCACACAAAATTAACTAGATCTAAAATCTAAACCAAAAGAAACAGATAGCCCACAAAGCAAAAATAAACTAAGGAAACCCAATTAAACAAGCCATCTATAGGGACAAACAAATTACAATTCTATCTAACACGCAGATCAGCCTCTAACATCCGCTTTGCACAAAACCTTAATTAATAAAAAAAAATTACTTACTGACAGCAAGATACAAAGTAGAAAACTGACAAGTTCGAATTTAAGATGGTCAAATGAAAAAGGGTTAAAAGTCTTCACTCAGAATATTCAAACTAGACTACTAAAATTTAAAAAAATAAAAAATAAAAAAGGATTGTGGTAATAAAGGGATTTTGTGATATTCAGATGGAAACAAACAGAGGTATATACCTGATGAAAAGAGAGAGAAAATAAAACCCTAGCTACGTGAACCTACTCAGAAAGATGAGGAGGACAGTGAAAGTGGAGGGTGGCGCCGCAGCGAGGAAGGGCGACGGCTAGGTGGGTAGGGGCAGCGGAGTGAGAAAATGGGTTGCAAAGACCTCACTGACCAAACCTCTTTTCATTTTTTCTCTTTCAACAAGGAGCACGCGGTGGACAAGCAAATTCAGTTTACCTCATCTCGTATGGTACAACTTTTGTGTTTCTTCCGCATGTTTTTATCATTTCGTAAATTATTTACTTACTTTCTTTTCTTTTATTGTAAGACGATAAGACTGGTTAAGAGTAGTTCGTAATGAGCGTGTAACGATCCAATCGATCACATTAATTTTTAGGATCATGTTCTGTGATTTGTTAGTATGATATGGTAGGTTCAGGAATGATTTAAAATATTATCTTGATATTTGGAAGGTTAAAGGCTAAAAGAAGTAATTTTATCCCTCCATTTGTGAAATTATGCTTGATTCATGGTTTAAAACTTCTAATAAATTTATTATAATATATTTGGACTTGTACGTACGTTCAAAAGTAAGACCCGAGGGGCTCGGGAGCATTTAGGCACTATTGCATAAAAATTAGAAGTTTTAAGGATTTTTTTTATTTGACTTGAGTTGTTGTTTTGTGTTGTAGCATTTTACTTCGTGTCTTGAGCCTTTAGATTGTCTATGTAGGGTATTTGAACTACACGAAATGGTTTGGAACGGTATCGAGGGGCTCGGGTGAGTTTCGACGCATTGTACAATTCTGAAAAGCTACAAGTTTCGATGCCTAGGGCACCGGGAAGCTGTGGTTGTAGCACTGAAACCTAAAGCTTGAAATTTTCATCCAAGCACTAAGACATCGGTGCCTATAGCAGTGAAACCAGATTTCAGCCAAGTATAAAAGGGGTCCATTTTAGTGACTTTTATTTCATTTTTCACCATTTTAGGAGCTAGAGAGCTCAGATTGAGGTAATTTTGAAGAGATTTTTAATCTATAACGATGGTGTACATGATTCTCACTCAAATATATGATTATAACATAAATTTATCTTTAGTTTTGCCTTAGAATCAGGAATCAAAAGGTGAAAATAAGAGTTTTTACTTGAAGAAAAATAAAGTATTGTTGATGATTTGAACATCGATTTGAATTCAAATTGAGAATCTAATTATATACGTAGACTCATGAGGTTATGAGTCAATAGTATTTGATTTTTGTTGTGGGATTTGACCAAGTAGGTGCGAGGTTGACTTTGATCTAAGCATTTTCTTTGCTTATGGAACTGAGTCGTATGACTAGGATTGATATCGTGGAATATTTTTTGGGCTCATTTGATGGACTTGGAGAAGAAAAGTTAGATTTTTAAGAATAGAACTATTATGACGCCGAGGTAAGTTGACACTTGAATTCATTCCCAAATTTTCTTGTTTTATGTATGCTATGTGTTTGGGGTAACATATATACGAGGCGACGAGTGTATATGTGATGCCATGTGATTCCATGCTTGTTAGAAGTATAAGCTTTATATCCTTTGCTTGATTTACTTGTGTATGACTACTTGAGTATCTTATTCGTGCTAGTACAATATTATAATCATACTTCACATGCTAGTTTAACATTACAGATTTCATATATATTGTTTCTTATATTCACCTTATAAGCATATTTATTTTGTTCTCTTACTTATTTGAGACTGTTATTTGGTAAGTTGAGTTGTTAGACGTGTACATTCACGTTCCTGTTGAGGTATAAGTTTGCACGTGTCATTACATGTTCCTATTGAGGTATCAGTTTGGGAATATCATTACATGTTCTTGTTGAGATATCGGTTTGGACAAGATTATTACATGTTTATGTTTGGCGTGTGAGATCATGTTCTTGTTGTGCATGAATTTGAATCCATCTCTTTTGAGTTATGCAATTACCCATTTTACCTTGGAACGTGTGTGCACAAGTTTGTGAGATACCGATGAGTTTTTCATTTGATTATGATACCAGTTGATGAGTTTGATCATAAAGGAGAAAGCATTATTATGTTTAAGTGAATTTTCTATGACTTTTCATGCATTTTATATGCTTTATTCATGCATATCATCTATATATGTCACTTTGATAAATTATTACCGTAGCACCTCGAAAAATTTTAAAGAGTTTAAGGCTCAACAATAGGTTTAATACATGTTAATTTAGCATCAAAATATGTGCAGGCTCGCACGAGGGTGTAGAAATGATTGGAAAATTTTATTGTATGTTTGGTACAAGGTGGAAGTGGTCGGAAGTGCCAAAAGAAATCAAAAGTTGAATTTAAAAAGAGTTGGAAGAAATGGCAAAAACAGCAGGTAGGCTCCCCCATGCGCAGATTTTCAAAGGGAGAATAGAAAACAATATGTTTAGGCTCCAACGTGTGCAACAACACCCCACAGCACGCACACAGCGCGTGTCCAGCGTGAGGTCACCTGTGTTATTAATATAAGGAGCTCGGGGAGAGAGAAAGAAATGGGTCTTTTTGAAGAGGTTTAAAAGGGTTTTGATATAGGCTCATCCAAGGCATTAGATGACCAATCAAGGTGAGATTATAATAATATCTTGGTGTAATTACAACTCTCTAATGCTAGCCCTAACACTAGAATCCGTTGAAAATCCTTAGATTTTCAAGAAACTCAAGATTACTCTTCAATGGAAATTTTTAAGATTTGTCTTCAAGAGGTAATTTTACTACTCAATCTTCACATATTATATATAAATTAGAATATAGAAGGCGATTTGGAGTAGAAATTATGATTTAATTGTGGTTTGGATAAACCCTAAAAGTGAGTCTGTGAATGAGATTGAGTAGTTAGTAGGGATGTCACGACCCAAATCCACATGACCGGCACCCGGCACACTACCCGATTTGAACGAACCAACCCATATGTCAAAACCAAATATAATGGCGGAAGCCAATTGAAAATCTTGTACATTTTCAAATCAAGTCACAAAATATTTTTTTTCATTTCCAAAATCATACATGAAATTTTTCATAAAAATGATATAATCAAATTAAATAATTATTTGTTTATGCAAGATGTCTACAACCCTATTTTTTTACAATCCAACACAACTATCTATGGAGCCTTTATACCAAAGGATAGAACCAACACTTGGAATAATTCCAACAATAACAAAAATAACATGATAGCTACTACGAAATAAAAGTGGTGCTTCATCATACCTCGAAATAAGAGTCATCCTAGCCATGTCTACACATCACGTGGCGTACCTTATCCTGAAACGCGCAAAGAAAGCGGGACCCTGAAGAGAGGCCCCTAAGTGCTGAGTACACCACAATGGTACTCAATAAGTATCATAGACTCTCTCTAACTTAAGTTCTTGGGACAAACTTTATAAAAATAATGCACCAATATTTGATATAAAACGATAAAAATTTTTATCAATTCATGATCTTTATCATTTTAAATAAAAGACAAGTGAAATATAACCCACAATATAAATTTTTAAAATATTTATATCAATCCAAGATTTTGAATAAAATCATACAAAATCATTCCATTTGCTTTAAGTCATTGAAATCACTTTCGGCTCCTTAGGCCTATACATAAGAAAATCATCTTTACCTTTCACTGGAAGTATTATACCATCACTGACACAAGAAGGTCAACCAGGTTATGTACCTAGAGGCAAGTATCATATACCCTACTTGCTCAGGTCGTCTCATCGCAGTGCCGTACGAATCGACTCATCCATGCTAATAATAACACAAAATAGTACTCTCTCAAGGGAGAGCACTCTGTCGTAGACTATACCACAAAGTGGCTATCTACGTCTACACCGGCACATGTAGTTTCATGACGACGAACACAATATATCCGAAGCCAATCTCGGTGAACACAAGTAACTCCAAAAATATTTGATACTCCAAAAATAGATTCATAGCATAGTAGCATCAAAGGATCTACTTTTTATCAAATCATAGCATTAATAGAAAATCTAAACCATTTGAACAAAAATTAAATAAACAACCTTTTACATGTTAAAGCATTTAACATCAATCTTTAAAAAGCTACTACAAGTGCTATTCTATTTATCAATTTTCAAAAGAAATACTTTCCATGAAAACTTATCTTCAGCACTCAAATATGTATACTCTTATCAATACGTAAATTTTGATAAAAACTTATAACATTTACCTTAAGTGTCATTTTGCCAACAAAATTTAAAATAAAGTTTTATAAAACAACATAACACTACATATGCAACATAATATTTTAGCACATGGAATCATCCGTACTTGTTTGTCCCCACAAGCAGGAAAGCACATTTGCAAACAATTTAAGCATTAACTCGAAATATGCTTTTAGAGAAAATCCCTCAAGAAGAGTAAGTTTTAATCAACTTACCTTGTTTTCGCTTTAATAACATTCTTAAGCTTTTAATCCTCCTCCGATATTCTAACATTGAGTAAAATACTCAGACGCCACTGAAAAATTGATATCTACAATTACATATCCTAACTACAACCAAAATATGACTCAAAAATATTTATCAATATCTATTTATGGCTTACAAGTTGGCTACAAGCCTCCAGCTCAAATCGTCCAATAGGTTCACTTACTAGTACATTCAACTCCACTCTTATCATTTAATACCCATTTAAAGTCATCAATGATACTACATTAATTTTTCAATACCGCTAAATTACTATTCATCGTCTTCCTTAACAAACATTTCCAAAATATTCAATTTGGTGATTACTTAGTTGAACACTTCCAATTTAGCTAGAAAATGATTTCATAGTTCATTGCATGCATCCTTTAATTTCATTTCTAAGAGCACTATTTATCTTCCCTCATTTTCTCAAGAATACTATTCATACCATGAACTAGGATTTATGAAATCAATTATCCAACCAAAACAACTTGAAACAAATATTATAATTACTCTCACCGACTCATAAGAAATGAGTTTGAAGCATTAGGATTACCTTCTTGAAGCTTTTCCTTAAAAATTCAATGTTTGGAAAATTTGGTGTTCTTGAACAACTTGAAAGATTTTTAGGGATTTCAAAGATTGAATGATGTTAATACTAGTGTTAATAGGATGTTATTAACTTAAAATATCCATAAAAACTCACCTTGTATTCTTAAGTAGTCCCCAAGGTTGAATCCACCATGAAAGAACCAATCCCTAGCTCAAACAAATCCCCAAAAATGGTTGCTGCCTGTGATTGCCTTA